CAATACAGTCCAAAACACTCTCTTTTTTGCAAATGTTTGTTCACTAAAATGTTCCAAAGGGAAAAATGTCAGCTACAAATCCTCACTCATCATGTATTTGCACAGCAATGCCTAAAGGTCCTTAAAGATCTCCAAGGATTTGAAGGAAATAATTCAGTGAGGTAGCAGAAACAGAGCCACTGCCTTCCGGTGTCTGGTTACATGGCTTATGCAACATAGGACAACTCCAGGCAAGTCACAGTGAACTGATTTCACAGACCATGCACAGAAAAATATGTTCCACCAACCAAATGTATGAAAGTCTCAAGCTAATACACCAAGGTAAGATAGCTGAAATCCACAAGATGGACTGTGGAAAATGTTTTGCTCACTGAAAAGGAATACTTCTCTATTCTGCCTACCTTACAGATGCCCTGCTCCTGTTCTTGCCAAAACCACCACAGTTTCACTCAATTTCCTTGGCACTTCAGCAAAGTCACACTTTTTCTTCATATATGCTGGGTGATTCTTTATATACCTGAACAACATGTGTGTTACAGCCATGTTTTGCATTATTCATCTTGAATGAAGTTACACCTTGATTGTGTTACCAGGAGAAGCCTGAAGCAACATTTAGATTCCCAGAATATCCTAAAAGTTGGGTGATATTTTCCCAACCACATTCTGTTGTACAGGTCTGTGATGGCCTTTTATGCTACAGGCAATGGGAAGGTATCAACAGCTGACAGAATTACCTTCTGACCAGTTCAGTGTCATGTACTAATTGCTCCCTCCCTCAGATGTATGTTCTGAAGGCAATAGTCATATTTCACACAGGTGACACACCTCTCTTGTTCAAGGATCCCCTATTCCCAGATTTCCCAGTATAACTGCAGACCTAAAGCCCCTGAGCAACTGATGTTTGACAGCTGAGACCAACAGGCCATCTCCTTTCATGTGATACCTTGTGAAGACATACATCTGTAATGTGGAGAGGTGTGTGGGGATTGCAGACACCTGAGAAGTCCATGTTCTCCTTTTAGTTTGACACTTGTGATTCAAAAAGAGCATTTGGGATAGGCAGACCTGTTTGGAATTGCTGAGATGAAAGCAAAGGAAAGAAGTTCTTGTGGATCAGGGGACTCCTGCTGAGAATCCCAACAGTTAATCTGTGACCCAGAACCACTTTACACAAAAGCTATCTACCTCAACCTAGTTGCTAAAACTTGGTTCTCTGCTTGGAACAGAGCACATGGATCTCTTTGCTCTGTGAGGTCCACTTGTAGCGCTGGTGAACAGGAATTTCCAGGAACGACAACATTCCATAGAGCTAAATACAGAAATGTCAATGTGTTCTAACTACTGCTGGTACATTATTTTCTAATAGGGAATGCTTATCTTTCCACCTCAAAGTAACATTTGACTGCAATATGAAATAACTTTCTGCTTGACAGATTTTATGATTGATCTAGTCCCACTATCCTGGCATCCATTACAACTAGTTTCCACTGTAAGGAAAAGAAAATAAAATTTTTGCAGACAAAAGTAAACAAGGAAGTTTATTTTCTGGAAAGCCTTCTTCACACATTACCCATTACTCAGTTTACTTCAATGCTGTGGTTTTGGTTCGGGTTTTTTTGTCAAGTTTACCTAAAATGTATTTACGCTGGAAAAGTTCTTAATTACCTTGGCAGAGTAACTTGGCATTCTCCTAAATTTGTGCTTTTTAGCAATGAGACTCCTTCCTGCTGTATCTTTTAATTGTCTGTGCCTGAAAGTTGTCTCAACATTATCACCTTACAAAGTGGATAATCAAGACTTAGTTTGATTTACTTGATTTCAGGCATCTCTTGTTTAAACAATTACTTGTCTCATTCCTTTTTTCCATCTCCTTTCCTTTTCCTTGTAGAGGAATACATTCTTACTGCTAATACACACCGTAATTGCAATGTACTGGAGCATGGATATCAGTCTGAAGCCCTGTGAAACCTTGAAAGGTTTCTGAACCAAAGAGAAGGCAACTACGCAGTATCACACAAACAGCCTCTATAAAAGATCTTAATTTAAAGACCCCTTTCTGTGTTATAAATTAGTTTTATTTGTATAACATTTTCTGGTTTCTGATCTTTATAGTCCTATAACTAAGGTAGTTTAAGAAGGAAAGTAAGACTACCAAATGTCTTAATTCCTCATGAAACTGGAATTTTTAAAGGATGAAAAAAAAATCTTAATTTTAAATTCTAGAAGTGATTTACTACAAGCATGAACTTATTAAGCTGCTTGTAACTAACATTCAAAACAGCAGCACTGCAGGTTTTCCTATCCTAGGCACTTTCCTCCCATCGTCCACAGCAGATTCACTACAAATTCAGTGCAGTGGTTACAAGTATCTCAATCTGTAGCATACAGATCCATAGCAACACTGAGGATCTCTTATGTTAATTTCTGTGCCCAGAGGCTTTTCTGCAACACTGAATTAAAGAAGCCACTGTATCATTCCTATAACAAGACGATTATCTTAGAATTAAGACTAAGTAGAAAACTCTTGAAAAGAGTTAGTCTTCCAAAGCCTTTAGAGATCAGACAAAATTACTTATATGGCTTACATCGTCAGTTCTCAAAAGTAACATATCTGCACACATCCTGTTCTAAGGATAAAGGGTAAAGTAATCATTATGTTACACTCTTTATTTATAATTCTATTTTTAATGTGGTAGATAATCTCCTTGGAATCACTGATTTTTAATGGGGTATTTTGAAAGATTCATTTTATTGCTGTTGCAGTTGAACGAACTAAGAGGACTACAACATCACTTACCAATAATCCATTAGTGTCACATCCCAAATTCTTCAGACATGAAGGTGAGAAATTTCTCCTCTTTATAGTGTCAAAACACATCTGGATGTCTGCTGAGTGAGGGCTTAACGGTTTTAGAGAACAATACTAGTAAAGTCCTAAATCTGTGTGATAATTCTCAGTGAGCAGTCATCTTTCTCATCTATTTGCAGAAGTCACAGAGGGTATCAGAGGTTCATTCTTTGTAGAGGAACATCTGTCATCCGTGGTATATGTTCCGGATGTGTCAAAGCATATCAAAGGAGAAAACACACATAGTAGAAATCCAGAGGAGTGAATCCTGGCCCCATCTCACCACTCTACTAGTATGGCACACTACTCTAAGTAAGGAAGAGAAGAATAACCTATGAGTTGAGCCATGACTGATGCAGTGCTGCTGGCAGGCCCTCACAGTGTATCTGGATTTCTCCAGAAAGCTGCAAGAGTAATCACAGAATAATACTGCCTCTGTTTCAGAGAGCAGGGAATGAGATTTCTCCAAACCTTCAGCCTTAGAAGAGCTGCTTACACTAAACGTAGGATTTTCCCCTAAGAGATGATATAACAACAAAGATAACTGCTTGTTTGGTATCACTGGGAAGCTTGTAGACAAAAAGCAGCAACAAGTACAGAGGCGTTATACATACAATAAACATTCAGCATGAATGAGTGGACAGACTAGTTCCAGAAATGGGTTCAACATCCCGATTTTTACTAAAAGTGTTGATTGTACTCTATCATCATGATATAAAATAATCAAATATATTTTCAGCAGGATCTGCGTGAGCAGCCTTCAATGTCTATGTACTTGTGCTGATACGACGGTGCACTCCAAGTGACAATATGAATTTATCCACACATGCAACAAACTTGCTTTTGGATTTCCCTGAAGGATACAGTCTTGTTGTTCTTTACAATTAATAGTCCTTATTATCTTATCCTAACCTATATTCCTCTGCTGCACATGCCATTTATGTGAGTGTGAGAACCACTCAAAAATTAATGACTCAAAGCTTTCAGATGACCACATTCCATTTGCATTTTGCTTTCTTCACACAGCAGAAACATATAACACCACACAAAAAGGGTAAGAAGGAAAAAAAACCAAAAAAAAATAAAAATCCACTGAACCACCATGAAAACTAGGCATAGAACAATCTACTCATCTGGTCTGCATCACACATCAAATTCAATAGAACGATAGGGTCAAATTCCTGGATGAAGAAGAAAATAAAAATAACTATAGGTTTTTGGAGCACAACATGAAGCATTTCCCTGTCATCTTCAAAAAACACTGCAGTTAGGTTTATTATCTGCCTTTCTACAGCACCAAAAAAAAGTCTCAAAGAAGATAAATTATTTTAAACCTCAGTTTTAGAAAATTGGGTAGTTAGCAGCTTATCTACCTCTTGATTTGGAAACAGCAAATTGAAAAACAGCACATATGTAATACCTGTTACTTGTCAGTTTTTGAGACAACTGTTAGTATTAGTTGGACAAGTACCCTGTGCACTCCATGGTCATATCAGTGCTGCTATATCCATAAGGTGTTTTGAAACCTGAGAGATTGTTCAACAGTGTATAAATAAGTGTCAGAAAAAAAGGAACAAAGTCTCTTTTTTTTCTCCCTGTTGAACACCAACAATAGTATTCTGCAACAAACCATTACTGGCCCTGACATCTATAGTAGAGGTCTACTAGTGTATCAGGACGAGAAGAAGAAAGGAAGAGAACAAGACAAAACCAGTCAGTCAGTGAAGAGCAGGACTAGAATATCAGACATGTTATGGACAGGAGCATCATGCACTACCAGATGTATTGAGGAAGGCAGTTGTTCACTCTTGCTGTGACTAACTGAGCACAAGATATTAGGATAGTCTGAATACCAGAAGCTCAGTACCAGCACAAAACCGAAACACAGGTAATTTTTTTTTAAGTAAGCATAATTATTTTTTTGTTGTGAAAAGGTTTTGGAACTAAAAAATGAAATATGCAAACACTGTAAGAATCAAGAATTTCTTGGTATACAGAAATAAAATATTCATAAAATCATAGAATCATAGAATACGGTGAGTTGGAAGGGACCTATCAGGATCATCAAGTCCAATTCCTGGCCCTGCACAAAACGCACCAAGAATCACTTATATTCTGACCACAGGAAAGAGGTATTAAAAGTTTTACTTACTTTGGATGGGCAAATTCATCCACTAGGACAACCTTTTCTATCAAGTCTCCACCAACGGTTCGAACCAAATCATAGAAATCATTCTCAGAGTATGTCTCAGAAGGCAGCCAAAAGGAGATGTCATTGATCAAAGGCGGATATCTGCTGAGTGGCTAAAAAAAAAATTAAAAAACATACTGTTATACGTGGCTGGACTTGGTAAGTATACCTACAATTGCTCTGAATTTGTATAACACACAGAGTATATATTTTAGAGGCTTTCTGAAATGCTTTTTGAAGTGCAAACTGACCTCATAAACAACTGAGATGCAAGATTTTATACTAGGAAATATCTTTTAAAGATCCCCTCATAACCACTTTGATTTATTCATTCATAAGAAAAAACTTGTTTTGTTTGCTAAAATCAGCATTTATGAGCCTGAATACACTTTTGGTCAGAGCTGTTTCAAAGGATGAGATCATTTTAGGGTGATTATTCACTGGGTAGAATTGCAATTTTTAAAAACATTTTTCAGACTTTTTACAGAGTCAAAAATTCTTATCACATTCATGTTTAAAATTTACATGTATTTTATATGATTCTTATATGACACAACTCTTTCTCGTATTGGCCTTTTTAGCCACCAACGCGCTTGCAAGAAACGTGGGTAGAGCCCTTCCCAAATCTTCGTTCGCGAAGCCTAGCCATGATGATGATGATATGACACAACATGTTGATTATTTATACTGTCCAATTTCTAAGAAAGTCTTATCAATAGGTGCCTTGTTATTTAAAGCTTATAAAAAGAAACACACTTTGCCTTAAAAAGAGGGATCAGTCTACTTCCCACTAGTACAGTCATCTAAACATCTACAACAAGAAAGGTATTGCTGTTAACATAATTATTCATTCCCCAAGTACCACAACAGGTTTTTAAATATAAAGGGGCATCTTTGCTGCAGATATAAAGACCTGATCTTGTGGGAAGACAGTGTTTTGCAAAAACAGGAAGAGAAACAAAATCAGGTAATTATTAATTTTCTAGTTTTGATGAAAATTCCTTGGACTCAGTGGGTTTCAGATCTCACCTTTAGTGAAATGTTTCTCCCTTGGAAGAACAGAAAATGGTAATGCTCTCCTTTCATGACCTCTAGGTCATACAGTGTCTTAGTTTTGTCTTCCATTAATATCCTGCAGTTGAAAAAAGTACTTTTGCACAAGATTGTTGGGGTCTGCAAGAAGAAACATCCTCTTTTTTTTTTTTTTTAATTTCGCTTGTATATATTTGACATCCCATATGGACACTTCGGTCTATACAGTATATTATCTCACTCAAAAATGTATTCCATGCCTGGGAATGTTTTATGATGGAGCAATGGAAACTTAAGCGAGTACCTGCTAAAGCAATAAACCTGTTAATAAGGCAAGTTTACAGCATGGTGATTTACTCAAATACTGTTCTGTAGAGTGTACATGAGTCAATAAATATCTGATAAGGAACAGAGCGCAAGTTTTAAATTAATAACCCCTCCAGTGAATAAAACTGTGAATCGCAAATGATTATCCAACTTGTTAAAGGAATACAGTTGTCAAATGAATTCATATCCTGTACACCAAATTATAAAAAAAAATACCTGCACAATTGTCTCTGCTATACAAAAGTCACAGCTGCAAATGCTGGAGATGCTTCTCAGTCAACAAGCTGGTACATGTGTTAGCATAAATAAAGTTATAATCCTGCAGTAGCCCCCTATATTCCCACTTCAGCCCCATCTACAACTATATTTATTACTGCTCTATTTCAGGAACCTATTGAACACACCTCAAAGCTTGTGGGGACTAATCCAAAACTCACTGAACTCCCAGCTTCAAGACACTTAATTATTCAAACAGAAGATGTGGTTCATGAGCCTAAGCATGACCAGGCACCTACTTCCACTCACACAGGTATAAGGACACTAAAGAAAAATAATTACATGTTCAAGTAATTCAGTAATGCTCTAAACCCCAAAAGGAATAGAGCACCCAAAAGTCATAGAGAATATTTGCTATTGATTTTAAAAGAATCAGGAATATGTCAGGCACATGAAGATAGCATTCTTTTTCCCACTTAAAATGAGATGTACACAAGGACCCAGTGTGGTCAGATCTTGCAAATGTAACTGGCACAGTTTGACTTACATTATCAGTGTCATCAAATTCCATGTGAGCAAAGTTGCTCAAAGATGTATTAAATTGTAGAGTCTGGCTTTTGTGGATTATCAACTGTATAGGAAAACTGCTTCTTCGACTCAATCCACGGTGTCACCAGCCTAGGTATGCTTGTGTGTATTACAAAGACTAGAAGGACAAATGCTTGAAACATAACATAAGCAAAACTTTTCTATTATTAGGTACTAACCTTTTCTCAGAACCTTATAATGCAGAAAAATCTTTTATGGTAAAAGGCAAGGCAATTATTTCGTATTATACTGTCCCTTCACCACCTGGCTGCAGTCAATATCATTGCAGTGAGTATTATATCAACGCTAAAGTTAGTACAAGGATAAAATCCCTAGTTCTAAATGTATTGATCTGTTTGTTGTAGAGCTACATGAGCTACATAATAGTTTTTTAGCTACACCTAAAGTGCAAATAGGCTAGTAAAAGAGTCTCCAACTGGCAAGTCAAAATGAAGCTCCTAAGTTTGTATCCAGGCACCGCAGCAAACACACACTGTGGTCTAACTGATCCCTTGGCCGTTCTTTGATCCTTTCTAAACTCTCTTGCTCTTTAGTAACAGACTGGTCTAAAGCCCATTAATCCTTTTCCAAGATCAAGGCAAATGCCAGCCCTGGAGACCATTTTCTTATGAATTTACAGACACTTCAAAGGCTCCCCTTGAGAGGAATGTCTTCTTCCCACTAAATCTTCTACTCTGCTATCAACTCCAGCTACTACTTCCAGCTACATCCTCTTCATGGCTTAGAAGTTCTCCAGCACCATACTGGGAGAAGCTAACAGGACACCACTTGGCTCTGTTCACCAGTTTGTGTGTTGGCCAAACTCTAGCATGCTACCCAAGCCTGGAAGTCCTGCTGTTCCTCCTTCCACTCCCTGACCATCCAGCCCCCTTAGGTTTTTGGGGAACTGAAAAGAGGCTTAGGAAAAGGTAGAACAGATTGCACCCACAGAGTGTTGCTGCGAGGCACTGGCCAGGAGTGGCAGAGAGCATTGCCAATGCACAGACGTCTCTGAACCACTCCTTTTGGTTTTATCGGAGCTCTGCCACCACAATGCTACTTCGAATGTTCTATTTACCTTCCATTTCAAGCACTGCAGTGTACTATCTTTGACATTTTTCAACAGCATTGGAAAACAAAAGTGCCTTCCCAGTAATTACACTACCCATAGGACTCCACTGAGCCCATGTTGTAGGAAATACTGCAAATAACGACATCACGTTTTTAAATCATTCAGGGTGAAAGCATTTAGGAGTGCTGAATTACTATCATTTTTTAAAATTATAAAATAGGAGCTTATGATGATCCACCCTCAAGGATACATGTTTACTAGTCATTAGTCACACTTCCTTCTCTGGTTAGTAAATAAGCCCTGTACTTACTAAAACTGCAAGCTTTTCCCTCTAAGGATGCTAATTTTAGTAAAGAAATGAGTAGTTGGACACCAGTGATATACTCTGTTCTGCCAGTCAGCCTTGCGTATGCCTAAATGTACCTAAGGAGTGCACCACTGAAAACACAGGGCTGTGACTCCTCTATATGGGTTTGTGATGGTTGAAAGCATTCCTTATCCTTACCTCTCTGCTCTGCCTTTCTGTTCGAGATTCCTGCCCCTGCAGCAGCTGATAAAAAAACCACGTGCCTGTTTCTCCACCACTGCAGGTCACAGCCTTCCACAGGCCAGCTGAAAATTGCCCCTCTCAGTGGTTTATGCTAATACATGCTGGATGTATTGCAGCAGCTTGAGACATTGGGGGACAGCTGTCTTAAGCAGCAACAAGATCCACTAGAACTCATTTGTCAGCACAAAATAGGAAAAATACTCGGGCTCTGTGTACATTGCCACATCAGAGCGCTACTCTGGACACTTTGGCAGAAGGAATCAAGTTCAAGTGGTCACCATAAGAGCAGTCTCTGTTCATCTGCACTCAGCAAAGGAGCATCAGCTAAGCTGGATCCAGATACCTCACAGCAGCACAGGAGAGAAAATGCAATATGTGGCAGAACCCCCTAGTCTGGAGGAAAATCAGCAGGGGATAATGCACAGGCAGTGCCAGCAAATAACCTGCAAAAGACCATGAAGTGTCTTTAGCCCAAAAAATAGGATGAACACCAGCCTTTTCCATAAATATTTGGCATTAGAAAAAAAACCCACACTTTTCCCCAGATGCAGTAACCATGAGTGCAATATGGAGAGGGGACAGGAGAAGTTTTGTGCAGTGGACTCTCACTCAGTTCCTTCCCTGCTGCCGGCTGCAGATGGGGGAACACAACAAACAAATGACAAACACAGCAGAGGAAAAAGCTGCACTTGTATTTTGACAGCGGCAACACAATGCAAGGTTAACAACAACACGTACCAAAAACTGGGTTAGCAACTCCACAGCAGACAAGTTATTAAAAAACCAGCCATGCTTTACTGCCATCACCAGTCTAAGTCAGAAAAAATGAGACTTAGCAGCCTCGTGGCTGTCAGGCTTTACTAGTCTTGCATTGCCCATGCTTTGGAGAAATATCTACATAAACAATACAGTTTTAATGCAACATCATATTGACATCAAAATGAAAGCTACAGTCCTGTAATATGCCTTTCTTAATATATTCCATGGTGAAACTACATTAATACAGTGTTATCAAAGGAAATTTAAACACGTAACAGGCATGAAATTCAAATTTGCAAATTTACAACTGTAACTTATCCCCCTTGCACATAATGAAGTTTCCTGTATTAGTGTGTAAGCTTTTAGATTTACACTTCCGTATTTATGACCAGCGTAGACAAATTACAGTTGCTGCAGGGAACATAATTTTGAATTTCTTGGCTGCCATGGCTTAAAATTCATAGTCACAATGTTCCTTCTCTATTACAAGTTTTCTACCCCTCCCTTCATCAAATGAAATTTTTTCTCAGTATATATAGTAAGTTCTATATATTCATACATATATATTT